AGTCACAATCAATCACAATTAACAGAGAATTGATCACAATGTTCACAATAAAACACATACTTGACCATAAAGAGTGACTACAAACAAATCTTCATACACCGCATACCAACATCACAATCTAACCACTAGTCACCATCGCAATCACCTCCAACTTTACTATCTTCATTGACCCGTGTTATTTGTGACTATTTGTTTACAACTTTGTCTTTAGTGTGACTGTTTCTAACCATATCAATCTAATTTGTGATTGCATGTAACATAGTGACGTACTGTCACAATTAACATAGATTTGGTCATAGATAGTTACAATAAAAATAGATTTGGTCACACTCGATTTTTGTTACCACCAACACTATGACACCACCACTATTCCCAACAATGTTGAAAAACCAAATGCGCACAATCTCACCATGACCACATGGACCACCAACAACAGAACCATCACCATCTTCACCACCACCAACGAACCATAGATCAGAAAATCATCACTAGCAAAATTGTAGAAAAATTTGTTTCTTGTCTTAACGTTAAAACTGTGTAGCTTCCTTGGATTTAATGTTCAAAATTAAGTTTGAATATGATGATTTTGTGGAATTTTGAGTTTTTGGGATTAACCTAGTGAATTTGATAGAGAGGAATGTTGAAATTCTCAATGGGACAATGACCACCATCGCTATTACCACAATAATCTCACCACCCCCATCAACACCACCACTACATGCACAAATTTCATAAATTTTCCACTTCCTTTTCTTTTGTGATTTTTTCTTCTAGTAACAACTTAAGTGAGTTTACTTTGTGTTCCATTCCTGATTTCTTCAACTTTTATATTTGTTGTCTTATTCTCATTTGCCTCAATACAAATGAAGACATTAATTTTATTCATATCTTTTACTGATCTTTAATTGAATTTCCATAGATACTAACTCAATTCAAGTGATCTAACTATGTGAATTTCCAGGTACACTAACTCAGAATCATTGATCCAAAGATGATCTTTCATATTTACACACAATCACACCCACACACACACACAAAATCCTCAAAATATGAAATTCATAGTTCATAATATTCCAACAGTTCAAAAATATACAAAAAGTTAGGGTTTACATAACAAAGGATCGATTTATAGAAAAGAGCGATATGAAAGATGAAATGAATTATAAAATAAGACTTGGATCCTTGAGGATAAATCAAATAATAAAAAAATAGTTCATTGTGAAAGTGTAAGTGTTCACAATATTAAAGAAAAGAGGATCTAATACTGAAACTATTAGATACAAAGTTGAACTTGTAGCAAAGGAGTTTACACAGAGGAAAGAATGGATTATAATGAAAGTCTTATTTGTAGAAAAGTACTAATAAATTAAAATTTTGTTTGCATAAATTGCTCACTTTAATTGGGAATTGGATCAAATTGATGTTAAAATAGCTTTCTTGAATGGTGATTTAGATAAAATAATCTATGTAAATCAGCTTAAGGGTCTTGAATTAAAATCCAAAACTCAAAAAAATTACTTGTTCAAGAAATCTTTAGATAGTTTGAAACAAGCCCCAAAGAAATGGTGTAAGAAATCAATTACTCATATATCTCAAACTTTGGACTTCTGACAAAGCAATTTTGATTCATGGTTTTTGTGTAAATGTGCAGGTGGTTATAAATTTGTTTATATGCTTTTATATATTGATGATATGTTGTTGGCATGTCATGATGAAAAAGAAATGGATCTAAAATAAAATTAAAATCTTAGTTTGAAAAATTAGCTATGAAAATTAGAAGAGATAAAAAAAAAAAAATGTGTTCTTTATCTAAATCAATTTTCATATGTGACTAAAGAGTTTGAAAAAAATTCTATGTCTAATGCTAAATCTATTTATTGCCTTTAATTAATCATTATAAACTTTCTAGTGAACTGTCACCTAGAACCGATGAAGAGTTTGATAGGATGAATAAAATACTCTATGATAATACAATTGATTCTATAATGTACAAGACCTGACTTCGCTTATGAAATAAGTATGTTAAGTAATTTATTGACAAATTCAAGTGAGATGCATTGGATTGCTATAAAATATATGCTTATATACTTAAAAGGTTCACTTGATTTGGGGTTAAAAGGTTGGCTTGATTTGGGGTTAATATTTTAAAAATGTGATGAATGTATTATCTTGAAAGGCTGCACTAACTTTGATTTTACAGGAGATCTTAATAAGAGAATATATACTTCATCTTATATTTTTATACATTGAGACGGGTGTATTAGTTGACAATTGCAAAAAGTTACAGCTTACTCTTCAACTGAGGCAGATTACACAGCAACATGTGATGCCATAAATAAAGGAATTTGATTAAGTGGATTGTTAAGATAAGTTGATTTTATTTATTAAATTTTTAGGTTATAAACAAATAATTAAAGTGCAATTTATTTAATTAAAAATCATGATATATTGATATCGAATTTCATTTTATTATTTTAACTTAGTACAATCTTTCCGATCTTGGTACCAAAGTTCTTCCATTGAACAAATTTAGAAATTGTTCAACTATTTTAAACGTGACATTTTTAGATGGTATAAGTAAACAATTTATACTGTAAAGTTTCTTTTAAGATTGAAAATTGATTTTTAATATTTTTATTATTTTTGCAATTTTTTTTATAGGTACAATGACAAGGTGGAGATTGTTGATATATACCTTAGAAGTTGACCGTTTGACTGAGTTGTAATAAAAAAATACAAAAATATATTTAAAAAACCCTTTTTGCTGTGGTGGCATTTTTCCTTTGTTAAATTATTTAAGCCCTCGTTTGGCCCCTATTAAATTCAATTACATTACATTACATTCTATTTTTCTCTCTCCTATTTTTAACCACACAATCTTTTATAAAATAAGATTACACATAAATCAAAAACTTTTCCTTCTTTTTCAACCATCCATTTTTTAAAAAAATATTATTCCTCCCATTTTCATTTTCAAAAAATGGGGCCAAACGGGGGCTTAATCTTGACCTTACACATGGCTAAGTTTTGACTGTGGCATGGAGGGTTTTTGGTCTGCTCCTTTATATCGGATTAATCCTATTCTACACACGAATACGCGCAGATTTGGCATTCCAAAATTTCTTGGTTGATCTCTTTAAATCTTTAATGAATTTTGTGATTTATATTTAGTGTAGACAAAGAGAGGATTACTCTCTCTCCCAATATGAAAAAATTTGTATAGAGAGATTGAAGAAATCTATGATCTTTTAACAAATTGTGTTGAACAATTATTGATTGGATTTTTTGTATCAAAGCTTAATTTAATTTGTTGATGTTCAAAGAGTGGCTAGCATTTAGAATAGAATAACGCGAGCATCTAGACCTATTAATGGATGAAAATGTTTCTTTAGTTGATTCTTTAATTTGCTGCAAGTTTACATTATTAATTTTTATTTTAGACCACCATTTAAGCCTAACACCACTCTCAAGCGGAAATCATCCGTAGGAATTCTGGATGCCATCGTCAAAAAAATAATATAAGAGTTAATCTACAATTTTTGTGTACATAATGAATTACACCCCTTCACATTAAAGGGATCCACATACAATAAAATATATACAGACCTTTTCTATGTGAAAAGAGTGTAACGCATTATGTAAACAAAAAGTGTACGAATAGCATCACTCCTAATAATCAACCATCACACCATGTGATCGATTCATGCCACTTGATGCCAGTAGAAAATTATATGATACTACTCGAAATTCCATACCATGTAACCCGCCACCTTTTCGTCTCATCCCTAGCAATTACCTTTCACAGTCAACTCGTCTGAAATTTAATATTTTTGTCCTGTATCGCGCGTGCTTCACACTTGCGTCATTTTTTAATTCTTACAAATTGTTTACTACGTGAAACCTTACGTAATATGCAAATTTGTGACGGTAACTTACCTCACCTCATCCCACGCCACCCCAACCCACCTCAATCCTGAAAGGAGTGATTGCATCATTGCTCTTCTACTTTTGAAAATCAGCATGTTCATCTTTACTTTTTAATTATTGTCATACAAGTGACTTTAGATGAGAAAAATTGTTCAAGTAACCGGCAAAATTAATACACCCAACTTTAAATTTTGAAAACTAGTCCAATTCTAGAAGTGTAACAGAACTTCATAAACTTAGACGTGTGAGGATCAAATGACGATTTAACAAAGATTAATGACGATTTTCATCATAATCTTGCTTGAAGGGCTATAGTCAAACTAAAACCAACTTTTTTGTTGAAGCAATAAGTTAGATACGATACGTGCAATAACTTTACTTATATAATCACCGTCCTTTCGACTTTTTCTTATTGTTACACAATCGATCTTTAATATAAAAAATAATCCAAACCTTCATAAAATGTCACATGGACCTCTCAAATTCATTCCATGTTGAACTTTTAGAAGCTAAGTCAAATTGGAAAGCAAAATCTAGCCCTTGTATGTTAAGATTTTAGTAGATTTTGATAAAATACTGATGAAATGTATGATTGAAAAGTTATGAGTCTCGTGAAATATTTAAATAAAATTAATTATTAATTTTGATTTAATTTAAAATTTTAATTTTAGTCCCCATCAAATAGAGCCTAATTTTTATATAACGAGTAACACAAATTTAGATGGTCTACATAATAGTAAACTAAGATGGTGTTTGGTAGGAATTAAAAAATTAAATTTTTTTAGTATATTGTGATAGAAGTTTCTGAAATGTGTAATTGAAAAGTTGTGGGATCCATGAAAGATATGATTAATATTAATTGTTTGACTTTGATTTAGATTAAAATCAAATTTTAATCCGTATCGAACGGGCTCTAATCATGCAATCATAAAGAAAAGCTGTCCAAAATATTATTTTCTAAATGTTGAAAATCAACTTACTACTAAAGTAATAGATTGGGGACATATAAAGCAATTTTTATATCTATGATTCTATATAATGACCAACTTTCCACATCCCCATAACAGACTGCCACCCACACCCCCACAATTTCAATTCGAAGAAAATTTTAACACCGTTGATACATCACTTTTCCGGCATCGGCGATGCAAGGAGTCCGCCGTTATGGGCAGCTAAGTGACGGCGGAGTAAGGCTAGAATTGACTCCAACCACCACGTCCCCGCTAGCTATAACCGTCGCTGAGTCAACTGAGATGGGTATCCAACGGCTGATATGTGAGAATCCAGTAATCATTTTCAGCCGCTCCTCTTGCTACATGTGCCACGTCATGAAACGGCTGCTGTCCACCGTTGGGGTGCACCCCACCATCATCGAATTGGATGAGGATGAGATCAGTGCGTTCACAGTTCACGATGTCGCCGGCACCAACCACCACGTTGATGGCGAAGGTGGTGGTGGACGTGGTGGTGTTCCAGCGTTGTATATAGGAGGTACAAGTATTGGTGGGCTAGAGAGCCTGGTGGCACTCCACTTGAGTGGCCACCTAGTGTCCAAGCTTATGGAAGTTGGTGTTTTGAGAAAGAATTAAACTATTTGTACCAGGTGAATTACCTGTTGGCAGCACTGCACTGGATGCCAACACTACAGTTTCTAGCCCCTATCCAATAATAGAATGTCACATGTGCAAAATCTCTGTACATGTAGCTAAGTTCAAATTATGGTATTTTAATTTTAATTTTAATTATTTATTCGAGCATGTTGTTTGGTAACTAGTATTGAACAGGACAGAAGGTAAGTGGACACTACTATCTGTTTCATCCAATACTAGAAGATTTTAATTTTTTTTCTTATTTAGTATGGATCGATCCTTTTCAATATTGTGTGTCAAATGTGTATTTCCAATTTTCGTTTATAATATAATCATAAACCCTAAAAAGTTGAGAATAATTACGAGAAGAAAATCTTAATTTCTTCTTGTTAGCTACCTTTTTTTAGATCCTTTGTTAATTGGTAAAAGCAACACTATTTATAGTGAAAACTATCCGTAATCATCATATGTAGCCTACATATGACAATTTGTTATTTGATGCATTAATATAATATTATTACCTCATGCATCGTATAACAAAATGTCATATGTATACCACGTAGGATGACTATTTTTAGTTTTCACTATAAATTAGCATTATCCAATTGGTATGCTTACATAATTTTTTATCATTCAACATCAATTCATTTGCGTTACATATTGGTTATTCAAAAAATTGTAATAAATAAATAAATCACATGGATCACTTAACTTTTCATATGAATTACAAATAATAAATATTTCTTATCGTAAATAAAATCATCGTTTAAAATTAATTATTGGTTTGGCCTTTTCACTTAATCGAAAAGGGCTAAAGGAGCTACAATTTATTGAATTTTTTAACATTATTAATTATTTATCCTATGTTACGTATATAATCAGCTCATGAATCTCCTAGAAATTATTGAGGAATATTCTTAAACTGGTTGGAAACTATTATCATGAAAACTTTGGGAACATTATTGCTTTTTTAGTGCATTTTTTCCTTTCAAGTGGCTCCAACATCCACGACCTTTTTGACCGTCAAATAAGAATTAATCATAAATTTGCCTTGGAATATGGTATTTAATGATGCATTGTGATTAAGTAGGCCAAAATATGGAGAGAGAGAAAAAAATTAGTGTGAAGAATAATATTGTTTAATCAAAATTCTTTTTTTTTTCTCGAATTTTTTTTAACACACATTCACACAATAGAATATTTTATACATAAATTCAGATTTTTCTACTTTTTAAT